TTTATGTTACATGCCCATGGCCCTCTGGCCCCTGGCGACTCTGCACGCCTTCCCCTTCCGTGTCGTACCATTCAGTGGCAATCTCCTTTTGTGGCAGCGCAAATTCCAGGGAATGCCGGAGACACATCCTCTTCTCTCCTCTCCATCCATTTGCCTAATTTCTATCTGTAAAGCAATTCCCCAATGGCATTTCACTTGGATTTATTTATGTGAATTAAACTGGCCTCTGGCTCCGCACCGTTCCGCCTTTGAGCCAATACGAATCCATAGCCAAATGCACATCCAAAATCCCTGGTAGCCGTAAATGTCAACATCCATTAGAGACCTCAAACCGTTAGTGGCATTTGTCGCACGCTATGAGGCCGCAACAGCAGTGCCAGCAGCACTGCCAGCAGCACTGCCAGCAGCAGTGGCAGTGGCAGGCAGTCGGAGGCACTCAGGGGCAGTCGGAGACAGTCACAACAAGAGGCCAAACAACTCGGGGCATGATTGAGTGCCTGCTTCTTGGAATCAAATCGAAATCAGCATTGGCCTGATATGAGAATTGGGACTGTGATCTGTTGTGATTGTTGGTAGTTTCTGTGTGCGTACCCCGCACCGTGAAAAGGGGTTCCACGTTGCACCTTGGCCCTGCAAATATTCTCGTAAATATTAGTTATTAAATTATTTATTAAATAATGCCGACCTTCACAAGGAGTTAGGCGAGCAGCAAACCGGTGCGACAGGCCAAAGCACGCGTTATGGCCATTATCTATTAATTATGTGGCCAGCAGCTAATGCTCTATCTCTCCCTCTCTCTCTCTCTCTTCTAATGCCAGAACTCAGACAAAGTTGTGTGCAGTGGAAACAAAAGACTTTGGCAACAAACTTGCCAGCAGTCAACATTCAGCGCTGTGACCATAAAGCACTTTAAAAATTCAATGAACCCCAAGCGAGAGCGGCATAGTTGGGGTTACCAAGAGATTTGGTTGACTATTAGATGCTCTTTAGGTAGTGAAAAAAGTAGTGGGAAAGGAGTGCAAAAAAAGATTGAACTGGTAGCAAGCAGATGGTGCAAGAAAGGAGGTCAAGATTGGGAGAAAATGCAGAAAAATTGTACATGAAATTCTTTGACGTTTATTTCGATCAAAGGAGAAGCAATGGAGTCCTTTTAGATTTATGATTTAAAAGAGAAAGGGTTGGAAAATATAAGAAATATTTGCAGTCCTGTTTAGATATTTTGTCGAAATGAACAGAAATGTTTAAAATTATTTAGAAATAATATATTAAATTCATGATACTTTTTCATTACCTCCGCAGACATTTCCCATCTTTTCCAAGCACCATGGCATAGCAAATATGCCCCCCAAAACCACTGACAGAGCATTCCAAAAAGAAAACCAAAAAAATACAAGTTTCATATCGAAGTTTTATGATCGAAGAAATAAGAAGAAACAACAGAAAAAAAAATGAGTAAGAGAAACAACGACGAAAAAAAAAAGAGTAAATCAAAAGCGAGCCCATGGCGTCGGTGGGAATGGTGGGAGCCAAGTGGCTGCCATAGGGGGAGAGGATGGCTCCCTCCAGCGAGGGATGGCGAAGGAGAAGGCGATGGCACAGCCAGTTGGCCAAGAGAAGCAGCAGCCATGTTAACAACTTCCATTAAAAGAAATTAAAAGCAGACGGAGCCAAAGACGAAGACGAAGACGAAGCCGAAGACATTGCTGGCGCACAGAAAATGGCGTTCCATCTGCTCTTTGGCATCTGCTGGCCTGGCCCTGAATCCCTGGATGGATGGATGGATGGATGGTTGGCATTCCTTTTCCTGGCCAGCAGCGAACCTCTTCTGAGCATTTCCGGTTCTATTGGTCTACTGTTGGAGGCAGCAGCACTTGGAGCAGGTTGCCATTAAAATTCAATTTCGGTTTTTGGTTTTTTACGTACACATTAAAGAGCGAGCTGTCTGTCTGTCTGTCTGTCTGTCCGTCTGTTGTCCCATTAATATTCACATAAATCAATGCGGGACCGCGCTGGACCAAATCTAATTACAGAAACTAATCTTTGGCATTTTATCTTTTATTTCTTGCTTTTTTCGGTTATTTTTATTGTATTTACGAAAGAGCGCGCGGATCTATATGATCGTGATTATGATGCGGCCCTCTCCCGCTCTCTCTCACTGTGTATTTTCCTGAGAGTTTTTTTCCAAGCTACTTTCGGTTTGGTGTTGGTGTTGCTGCCTCTGTCGATGCCATTTATTCATGCTCATTAAGTGCTGGAGCGATTGTTGTCTGGGCCTCTGGGATGATCGGTCTCCTCTCTGCCGCTGTTCACGGTGTGTTCATTCACAAATGAGCGCCTTAAGCAGCTCCGCCCCATATGCACACACACACACACGCACACCATGCCACATAATGAGTTGCCGCAATACAAAGAAGCTGGAAATTTATGTGGCAGCCACATAGACACACAGACACAGACACTCACACAGCAGCAGCAGCAGCAGCAGGCTACAGACTCTTTGTGGTTGTTGCTGCTTGGCTGCTTGCTCTTACCGCTGCCCCCTGCCCCCTGCCCGTACCACCGCTGCCTCTGGCACAGCCCCCGCCTCGGAGCCAGCTTCTTCATCTTTAATTTGGTTCCGTGTATCTTGTTGATGGCGTTTTGCCTTCTCTTATATCTTTGCCGCCGCTTCCAAGCGTTCATTGCTATTGAATGTTGCTCCTTTTCTTTTTTTCTTTTATCGTTCTCTTTCTTTTCTTTAGGTTTTTTTGTTGAAATTATGCTACGCCTGGCATTCCTCGGCTGCAGCCCCAAAATGGGGTAGACAGACCCAATAATGGACGCCTCATCATTGGGCAATGCCAGCCGTTCAAGTTCCGTTACAGGTGCACTTTGAGATACAGATCGGATTGGATTCACTTCAAACTATGAGCAATGCCTGGGCATGCCCTTTGTGCTGCCTGTCTGATCGCATCGCAGGTGACAATTCCTTGGACAAATAGGGCAAGCGTGTTCCTCTGTTCGCGCTTCTATGTAAGTGACAGTGTCAATACGCGAACATCACCAATGCTGGCAGCAGCAGCAGCACTCAACTGCAACCGCAAAAAAGTTCCCCCAACAAAAGAGCGCAGGGCTGGAGGACGGCAGAATAGTTGTAGTCGGCGGACCCGAGCTCAAAAGGTGCGAGAAATCACCACAAAGAAGAAAAGCGAAAAGCAAAAGTCTAACCAGGGAACAGCTCAAGCGAAACTAAATCCTAAATGACCTTTCGACTTTAAGATACATGCTGCAAAGGCTTTGGAGCAACTAAAACAGCTGGAAATAATATTTAAAACGATTTTTCTATTAGCTAAAAGTATTTTTTCTTGAAAGTAACAAATTTCGCAGGTGTTTATGGCCAACAGAAAATGTATAACAGTCCAAGAAATTCCCTCATTTACACCTTTATGAACAGAAAATATTCTCCATTCCATTTTGGTGCACACAATATACCCCTGTGTGCCATGAATACCTCGTATAATTAGCAAAAATCAACAATAAATGCAAAGATACATCTGGCGAGTGAGACCCGAGCGTATAGCAAATTTACTGATCATTTGTCGAGCCCACTCGAGACCACATTTTGTGGCGGTTCCGTTGAAAAATCAATCAAATTTGCAAATGTACATATTGTACATACATTCAATTTGTATTAAAATGGTTTTTAAAAATAATTTTCTGTTTGTGCAATCTATTATGAGGGGGGGGCATAAGTTTCGTCTATCAATATGTACATTCATATAAGTTGAGTCTGGCGGAACCTGCAACGATTAGATGTGCCGATTTGTTCGCCAATTTGTTGGATTGTATATTTGTATGATCATAAATTGATAGCTGCACATCCTGTGCCTCATATCTAATCGAACTTCCGTGCGTTGTTGACACTTAATGAGTCATTAAGATGACATCAGCTGGAGGATGGCTAGAAGTTACTTGAAGTTGCCGGAAAAGTAAAACCAAAGCCAAAACTAAAACCAGAAACTTCTACAAACGGAAGTGGTTGTGCAGAGCCAGCAAAAGTGCTGTAATGACAAAATGAGGAGCAACGTTGGCAACTGCCAGCAGCAAACATACATAAATATGTATACATACATAAATGTATGTATTTATGTACAAGGAAGAGTATGTGTGGCTGGCTGGCTGCTGCGGTAGCCCAGATGATGATCAAGAGGAGTGCAAGCGGCGGCCAAGACAAGACAAGACAGTCGGCGGCCACACAATACACAAAAAACCGGAACATTATTAATTTACAAGCAATAAACCGAAACACGAACAACAAAACGAAGAAAGCCAACGGAAAAATGTGAACAATGAGCAAAAAAAAAAAAAAAAGACAGAAAGAAGGAGCAAGAGCCAGAGCCAGGCCAAAAACCAGAGTCGAAGCACAGAGCACAGGCGGCAGCTAACAAGCCACAAGAGTCGAGCGAGTCGAAGAATCGGAGGAGAGTCAATAGTGCAAGTGTTAAGAGAAATTGCAGCCTGAGCATGAGGATGCGCCATGGGTGTATTGGCTCCGATTGTTGGCCATATACAACGCACACCAATGCAGCCAATTGGCAACACACACACACACACAAGCAGCAGAGCCCATGGCCACAATGAACCATCATCCAACATCTGTTGGCTGCCATCTCCCCCCCGCTCGAGCAGGGAGCATGTACATAAGACCCGAAAACCCAACACACATACACAAGCAGCGCGCTGTAGCCTGTGCCTGTGTGCCGTGCTCTCTATGGTTGTCTCGCTTGCACTTGTACCCTGCAGCTGGCAGCATAAAAATGAACACCAGAGCGACACGATCGTGTGGGCCCGTTACCAATGAAGCGAGCCACCAACACAGCCACAAGCAGAATGAACCGCAGCGATGAATCTGTGTCTGTGTGTGTTTGTGTTTGTGTTTGTGAGTGTACGCCGCCGCAGTCGGCTACAGACTAGGGTTCTTGAAAGCACCCTCGCGTACACTCGTACTTGTACTCTATAACCGCTCGCTCGCTCACTCGCTCGGCCTGACTCTTCGTGCGCTCGGAAATGTCATTTGTCAATCACAGTGCGAGCGCAACGGTTGTCCGAGAGAGAGCTGCCAGCCTCTGTTAATGTCCAAAACACACAGACTGCTAACACGGCTAAAACACTGCTAAACAGTTAACACTCAATCACGACTTGTAGGAAGTTCCAGATTACGTCTGTGCGCAAATTGGGCAAATCCCCTGGCAACCGAGTTCGAAATCGAAAAACGAAAGACGAGCCACCAACAAAATTAACCAATAAAAGCAAAAACCCAGCAGCAACGGCTGCGGAGTGTGTCTCAGTGTGCCAAAAGTGAAGTGCTAAACAACCAAAAAATACAGCGAAGAGAAACAGCAAATTACACAAAGATATCGAGTCCAACAAATATTGAAAACCGTTCAAATAATGGATAGCCACGCCACGCCAGTGCCAATGTCCGTGCCTTGGGCGAGTGCCGCCAGTGTCACCTGCCTTTCCCTAGATGCCAAATGCCACAGCTCCAGCTCCAGCTCCGACTCCAGCTGCCACACAGACTCTGCCAATACAAAGTTGCGCCACATTGCGTATACGCAGCGCTGCAGCAGCAGATGGACAATGCTGATGACCGTGCTGCTGCTCCTGCTGCCGCTGAGCTTTACGCCAGCGCACAGCTGCGGCCCCGGCCGGGGGCTGGGACGTCGCCGGGAGCGTAATCTCTATCCGCTGGTGCTCAAGCAAACCATACCAAATCTATCCGAATACCAGAGCGGTGCCAGCGGCCCACTCGAGGGCGAAATCAAGCGCGATTCACCCAAATTCAAGGATCTTGTACCAAACTACAATCGGGATATTCTATTCCGGGACGAGGAGGGCACCGGCGCCGATCGCCTAATGACAAAGGTAAGTCCATTCATCCAATAGCTCTCACTCTCTGTGGCTTTCATTGATCGATCGATGGAGCGATAGTCCGCCATTGGGGGGACTTCCCATTGGGGCTAGGCTAATACCCTGCCTATTGCGCACCGCTCGCACATACTCGCGTAACCCTCGCAACCCTCACATCTATTCCATAAACAGAATGAATCGCTGTACGAACATACATTGTCGCGCGAGTGTCGCGCTGCTTATCAGCGATCGGCCGATCGTGTAAGATTAAGATTGTGGGCACCGTGTACCCCCCCTCCAAAGTCACCATTGATAACCGCTACGTGTGTAGACCGATTGGTGCTAAGACCGAAACTCGCAACTCATCGACGCATTGGCTATTTAATTTCTATAATTTATTGCGGCTCGTAAATGCTGGCGAAATATTAGCACGAGCATCGGCAATTATGATTAATTATGCATCTTATCGGGGGCAACAAGTGCACATTTTTTCAGCAATGTGCAAAAACAGGAAGACCAAACACTCGAGAGCCAGTGCAAATCCAAGATAACCAAAGGAATTTGCCAGAACAAAGCCATAAAGCCATCGTTTCCCCTCTCTTAGACTCTAAACAAATACGAGTGCGTTCAACAACCTCTCATCCGTTGAGCCATCGAGCCATCGAGCCGTTCGCCAATCGATCCAATCATCATAAATCGTTGTGTGCCAGCACTCGCAAAACAACATTGTGAGCGAATGCGTTTTCGATTTCGCTATAAACAACAAACAAATATCAAATATGATCGATTAAGGGGGGTCCGCTCTGTCCCCACACCTTCGGCCCCTGCTGCCCTCTCACTCACAGCAAAGGCACGCGAGCATTTGCCGTCTTATCTGTGTGTGGTGTGTGGCGTTTGTCTGATAAGAGTCGCTCACCTGGGAGCAAACTGAAGCCAAGTGCCACAAGTAGCTTATAGCCAGCCGTTTCGTGTACGTTTTATTTGCAAACATATGTAGCTACAATGTGTACAGAGTACGAGTACGAGTGGCTTGTTCTATATTAGGAAATATAGAAGAAATAAAGTGGCAAGCGGAGATACCCTGGTTGAGACTTCTTTACTAAGATTACATTTACATCGGCAATACAAAAGACTCCCTTCAAGCACTTTATTTTCGAGCTAGTGCTGCTGTAGCTAGGACTATGATCAGCGCTTGATTCTAATGCAAATCTTGACTTTATTATGGAGTCCCATGTCACAAGTCTCAAATTCCCCAACTGATAGCTACAATTATTTTTTGTAAATATTAGCCATTACGCATGACATCAGTTAGGATTGGATTGGAGGTTCCTTTGGTGCCAGCATCAGCCCCTAAGTGCGAACGCCTTTTCGAGGGTGTGTAAACAACATTTTTGTGCTCCACGCGAATCACCTTATCAGTCACGTATGGGCATGGGCTAGGGCTGTAAACGGTGACTCAGTGTATAGTTTTTTGCAAGTGTAAAATGGTCTCAGCACCCGGCAGTAATTAAGGCGACAGCAGTTCTAATTAGCAGACAGTTGTGCTGCTTTACACACAGCATTTATTGGCATTAAAATAAAAGTCACTTTGGGGACGTGGGCGCCACCGTTGGCACAGTCTGCCCCCCTGGTAAGAGCTCTGACATTGGCACACTTCCCAGGCAACACACACCCGGCCACAGGCTTATCGCAACAATTGTTGTTATTTTAATCAATTTTTAATTGTTGGCTGTGGATTTCTAAAAAAGGAATATACAATGTGAGCATTGATAAGCTGCTATAAGCGGTTGGCTATTAACGTTTTATGGGAGACTTCCAGTTTCCTTTTGAGAGCACTCCAACAGCGCGAAATAAGAATAACTTATCATTATGATTACCTGGAATCGTTGCTGCCAAAACAGTTGATTTAGGATTATTATTTAACGCTCATTTTATAATTATTGCACATATAATACAATAATAATACATCATAAAATGAACTCCAGAAATAGCCATTGGCCCAGGCATGACAAGAGTATTTTCACTGTACTCTAACCAATTTGAGAAAAACTTGTGCCAAATGGCCACGCGCCCCTCGGGGGCCAAAGGCCATTAGGGCAGTTGGTGCCCCGTTGATGCCTCACCTTGAATTTGATGTGCAATCGGGGCCCAAAAGGAACTGTTTTTCCTGCAAAATGAAGCTGCGAAACAATTAACAGTTGCACTGCACGGCAGCCACGGAGGCAGCGGCGGCAACACGGTGACACTCGGGCAGGGAAATTGTTAACGGCAGTCAAGGACATGCCCGCCAGAGAGTTGGGCCAAGGCCGTCAGCTGAATGGCCAAGGACAAAACCGAAACCCAAAATGGGCAAACATAAAACATTCCCATTGTGGCAGGGCAAATATTTACAACAGCGAAGAAACGGCCACCGTTCCGCTCTCTGCTACCGAAAAACTCTCTTGCTTGACATTGAGAATTGGTAGCAGAGCACAGAGCACAGAGAGAGAGAGAGAGAGAGAGAGCGCAGAGAGAGGGTGAGGGTGAGGGTGCAACCAGCAGCGCAACTAAATTGTATTTTATGTGGCACGGCTGCGGAAACTGATTTTGGACCCGATTACGGACTGTGCGTGAATTTCAGTTGTTGGCGAACAATTCGTTTCGTCTCGTTTTTGGCCATTTACACAAGGAGAATGACTGTCTCTGTGTGGGTGTGGGTGTGGGTGTGTGTGTTCGCAGTTGCATAAACAAATTGCAAAAATTACACAAATTGCCGTAAAGTGCTAAAAATAAAACAAAACGCGCAACGCAAAATCTGTGCAAAACAGCAGCCAATAAAATGAACAAACTTATGACAAGTCATTGCACCCCCCCTCCCGAAACCAACCCAACACCCCCCCAACTTCATCAGCAGTTGTGCTCCAGGTAATTACAGGTAATGTGTGTGCAGTATGCGGCATGCCTCAGGATTAGACAAGGCAGCAGTAACCGCAGGGAGAGACACAGAGACAGACCGCCATCAGAGCGAACAACAGACAAAAGAATGCGTCAAAAGCCGCAGCATAAGTTCTAAAATTTCATAAATTGTAGCAACAATGGGGTCGGGCCGAGCATTGCCGGGGACTGTGGCCTGAGGGCAAAGCCAATGGGTAATCCGATATGATTATTGACATGCATGCAGCAGTCCCAGTCCCAGTCCCAGTCCCAGTTCCAGTCTCAGACCTCCCTCTCCAGACGACATGCACATCAACATCAAATCAACTCAACTCAAATCAAATCAAAGTAAGCCCACAGCTAAGGCATTTTAATAGAACATTATGACTCAAAAATTGATCCTATTATGACAAAAAAAAAAATCAGTGCAGGAGAGGGAGACACAGAAAGAAAGAGCCGGAGAGTGGAAGAGTGTCTGTCGATGATGTCAGAGTCTCAGTTTCATTTTTGAACTCAAATCAAATCACGTCAAATGCTGCGATAAGCACTAAAATTTTAGCATATTTCGTGGGAACATTCCTACACTCCATCCCATGCGATTATGAGACCACAAAGTAATCAAACTTATCAAACAAACATCAGTCAAAAAGGCAAAAGTGGACAAATTGCCAAATGCCCTGCTGCTGATCCGCCAAGAGACACTCCGCTCTGTCTATGTGTTGTCCCTGCTGTATACTCGTAGTGCTGTTTGTGTGGCTTTTATATTATTATTAATCAATTTGATACTTTTACGAGGGCACTCAAGCGCAAATGTTCAAGGATTTGCTTGGCCCCCAAAAAATGCCATCGATATTTGCCTGGGGCTCTCACGTTTGGTCTTAGCTTTTGCTTTATTTGCATAAAACTTTTATGAACTTGCTGGGGATAAAGTTGGAGTGGGATATGGAGATCTGGTGGAGATCTTCGATCGCGTCGCGGCTATCACATTACTGCCGCGACAGTGACTCACATTTCACATGCTGTTCTGGGTCTACCGATTCTTGCCAGTCATCGCAGAGGGGCACTGGGTCGGGGGTAGCCGCATGCCCATCCCACTATCCTCCCTCCCTCCGCATCAGTGCCAATGTGCGGCTCATAACTCATCATCAAAGTTAATCACACATCAGGGATTATGGCGCTTATCATTTAAGACCCAAGTCCCAAGCTCTTACCTGCTGCTGCCTCCACCAAATGACTTTTGCTGATCCTCTCTCTCTGTGGCTGTGTCTGTGGGGGAACATTAAATGTGGCAGTGTGTTGCAGGTGACGGGGAATAGGCCTCAACTGAGATTTAATTTACGATTTCTGCAAATTAATAGCATTTAATTAATAACAATAAAATGACGCCTTGCCTTTCATGGACATTTATTTGACATGAGATTTACGAGCGGTTTGTGTGTGGCAGATGGGAAACCCAAACCCCCCAGCCCTATGCCTATGCAGTGATGCATTTTCCCAATGATTAAGCGGAAGCGCAGTCTCACATCATTGATTGAGAATTCCCCAACCCCCCCGTCTGGCAACAGAAGCGTTGGAACATTAATCCAATAAGCAAATGCAAAAAGGCTTCCCTTTCCTCTCTCTCTCCTTTTTTTTAATCATTGCCCATTTATATTGACAGCCAAAAAGGCAAAACAAACAGACAGGCAGGAGCAGATTTCGGATTTCAGATTTCAGATTTGAGATTCCAGACTGCTGATGGAGGCGACTGGCCTGTGGCACTCTGAGCTTTTCTCAGAGTTACGTATACGTAAACAATAAATAAATTACTGCCCCCAGAGTCCAGTGCCATTTTCTGATTAATTAAAACTTCAGTTTTTTTTCGCTTTCTGCTCGCTGTAATAATTGCGCTGCCATCGCATAAACAAATCAAAGGCACGCCGATGGTTTATGGTGGCATTGGAGCTGTGAATAGATTTGCAACACAAATAAACACAAAAAATGGATAGTGGATAATGGATAGTGGATAATGGAGCGGCTTGGATTGGCATTGGCCCTGCACTTGAATCAATCAGAGGAAACATTCTCCTGCCACTGCTCCCCTTTGGTGGCGCACAGTTTGCCAATTAAGTGAAGGAAATCTGTGTGCCTCGAGTGTGTGGGCCACACAGAGCGTGCCGCTGACAGACAGGCGAGCGAGAGAGAGAGAGAGAGAGAGCGAAAGTCTTTAAGTTTTTTTGTTGCCTCCCTAAGTGGCCTAACACCCGGGCCACAGGGTCTACTCAAGTGGGCCTCATCCTCCCATCCCCCATGCCTTCTTCCTTTGGCTGTTGACACACATATGTATATAGTAGTGCATCGAGTGGGTGACGTGATTTCTTGCTCCTTCCTTCTGCTTCGTTTTTTCCTTATTTCTTTGTTGTTGATTATATCCTGTGTCGTTGGCCTCACTGACTGCTTCCTCAGTTGTAAGTTTTCGCTTCCTTTTGCGCTTCCTTTTTGGTTTTTGCGATCGCAATCAGTGCACACAAGAATCAAAGGATATGCCATATCTGCTTACACCATAGAGCACGTGCATCTGCAGCATATGGCATAAAAAAAAGGGGTGACACACAGGCAGGAGTGCTGCTCCTCTACCTTAACGTAACTTAATGCGCACTTGAATTATGTCGTTAAATTGTGTCGTTTCCTAATCGGTTTCCCGGGGCCACAAGTAATCCGAAACTGGCCCCAGAGTCCCAGTGGTTGGGGCCCGGCGCAGGAGTTGCCACAAAACAAACAAAGGAATTGCCTTGACTTGACTTGCCTTTGCCTTTGCCTTTGCCTTTGCCTGGGCATGGCTAATAGCCAGTCGCTGTTCGCTGTTCAAGTTGACTTGGCCTAATGATGATGAGTGCCTAATAATCTTCGTGCCATAATAATTTTGCCAGACCATTAAAAGCGTCAAATTGGCAGCCAGCCAGACAAATTTAAATCAATAAAACTGCAGTCGGGCGGCAATTAAAAACGCATCAAGCGCGTAGCTAAACAACAAAAGTTGAGACCCACAAAATAAAAAAAAAGAAACTAAAGACACGCAAATGCAGGGCGTGTCCCTGTCCCTGTGCCTGGGTCTGAGGCTGAGTCTGAGTCTGAGGCAAAGTTCACACCTTGTTGGATGTCTAATTAATGCAGCTTTCAGGTGTTGGAGTAGGGGTGGATGTTAGTGCGTACCCCTGGCATGGGTCTATTTACACTTGACGCTGTTGTCTAACGGCCACTTACAATGCACACACATTATTTAGCCATCTTTTTGGGCCAGTGCCGCCGCCGCCGCCGCCGCCGACGCCGACGCCGACGAAGGAGACTGAAGCAAAGGGGACCCCAGTCGATTCAGTGGGTAAATGTTTACCTTACGCACCCGTCGACATCGAAGAGATCCCAGGCCGATCACTGGCATCGGGAGAGCTACACAGAGAGATCTGAGATCTGTCCGTTGTTTGTTCATTGCGCGTCGATTCGAGATTCGGACTCGAACTCGGACTCGAACTCAATGCATTAGCATGTTGGGCAAACATCGTTGTCGATGTGCTTAAGACAAAAGCGTTTGCTCTCGGCCACCCGGACCCCGTACCCTGAACCCCGCCCGCTTCACGCTTCCCTGTGTCTTTCTTGTTTGCTCGTTGGCGTTACGCTTTTGTGCTCATTAGCACAGTCTACCAGTCCACACAGCCAGCCTCTCGACTGGTTAAGCCTTTTAATAAAGCAAAGTTTCAGCAGCAGCCCCCCAGAGACAGTCCCCGTTCAAGCAAATATCATTGAACTCTTCTTGGAATGCGCTGAATGCGGTTGTGCCACCACAGCCACCTCAATTTGCCACAGTTTGCGGCTGTTGCGGCTGCTGCGGCTGCGGCTGCCCGCTGCTGTGTGACAAATTCACATATACGAATATTTTGGGCCAAAATAATAGCAAACAACGAAGCAAACGAAATCAAAACATAAGCCACAGCCAACAGCCAAAAAGGCAACAAGCCGAAAAGGATCTCCGCTCTCCTCTCCCTCGCTCGATCTGCTTGAAAATTGATTTTACGCTGGCGAACAAAACTGCTCTGTGTTTGCACACAAAGGCAACATCCTGTCAGTGTCTTAAAGTCGCAGCCCGAAGTCCGTTGATAATTGATTTTTGTGGCTGGGCACAATCTTAAAGATACTTTTTGGTTGCTCCTTTGCTCAGTTTTTGTTTTTTGGGTTTTTTGGTTTTCTTCTTTTCTCTTTCAATCTATTTGCATAGACTTATACGAATCCTTTTTTTGCTTGATTTGTGTGTGTTTGTGTGTGTGTTGGTAATTTTCGAGCTGTGTTAAAAAATCAAATGAAAATGCGCCGACAAAGACGACAGGGAAATGGAAATGGAAATGGGAAAGCGATGAGCACCCACCGCATTGGCAAACAACGCGTAAGCATTTTCATATTATCGACAGCAAAGAACAAAGAGAGAAGCACACAAAATAAAGGAAGAATAATAATAATAAGACATAAAAGGTCTACAGAATATATCTTTAATATTTACCCATGGCCCATGGGCTACAGCTACAGCTAAGGTTAAGGGTCAGTGTTTGAACTGCGCGTAAGCATGGGCAAATAAGCCTTTGGGCAGCAAAAGGGAACCTGCCCTGGCCCTGGCTCTGTTTGTTGAGGTTGCAGCAACAGGTTCAAAGGATGCACCGAAGACGATGATGATAAAATAAATAGAAAACGGCATAAATACTCGTGTAGCGTGTATCTGCGTCTCTCTGGTTACAAAATGAACGCGTTGGTTGGGCCCTTTTTTTGGGCCGACAGAATGAATGCCCCGCCAACGCCAACGCCACGCCTCGTGCGTGAGAGAGTGAGTGGCAGCGAGATCGATCGCACACACACACACACACACACAGCAGCACCACTCTTGCTCTCTATCCGTCTCTGTCTTCCTCTCCCTCTCTCTCTCTCTCTCTCTCTCTCTTTTGGTGCGTGAATTAAACATGGCGGCGTCTTATTATTACTTTTTGGTACTTAATTGATTTCATTTTCCTTCTCTTTTTGTAGCGCTGCAAGGAGAAGCTGAATGTGCTGGCCTACTCCGTGATGAACGAATGGCCCGGCGTCCGCCTGCTGGTCACCGAAAGCTGGGACGAGGATCATCAGCATGGCCAGGAGTCGCTGCACTATGAGGGTCGTGCTGTTACCATTGCCACCTCCGATCGGGAGCCCTCCAGATACGGCATGCTGGCTCGCCTGGCCGTCGAGGCTGGCTTCGATTGGGTCTCCTATGTGAGTCGTCGGCACATCTACTGCTCCGTCAAATCAGGTAAGAGTTGCACTCCCAGTACTTCGTATCCCTTGCCTAAAGTGAATGTCCCGGCTCTGGGTGTTGGGTGGCCTTATGTGGGGTGGAGTTCGTTTCCCAGTTAGCCAGAAGTGACACTAACAAGCGTAATTTCGCATGTTTGCCCCTTTTCTTTTTTGTGCTGAACTTACAGCAACGATTGCTAAGCTGACAGGCGTTGGCAAATTTCTTGTTTCATTCTGCACTGCAGTTCAGCTCCATGGCTCCCATGGCCACAGACTGAGGCTTCAGCTTGAGTCCCACGAAGAACACAAACCAGGAAGTCAAGCAGCGGGCATCGAAGTGTTGAATACCCTTTGAGATTTATGCTTGAACATTTGATTGGAAGACCAACAAGTTTGTTTGGCCATCGATTGGAGTTATTTTTAGGGATTTTTGATGCTTACTTAATATGAAAAATAGACACAACAAAGGAACAGACGCTGCTTGGATATTTTATTCCCAAGTTCAAGCACTTCCGCCATCTGTTGCACATCCATTAAGGCCCTCCGCTGGTGAGGGTATACAAAAGAAAGATCAAGTAAAAATGGGAAGCAGCAACAAAGTCCAAAAACCGGACTCGTACTCAAAGTCGTACGATGACTGGGTACCGGGACGGGTGGAGAACTCTCTCGAAACTCACTTCGTATCGACTTGGATCGGGATCGGGATCGGGATCGGGTCTAAAGAGAGGCGGCAACTCCGACTAACCGCATTGGGCTGTTGTTGCTGTTGTTGTTGCTGCTTGTTGGCTGTTGTTTTGACATGTTTAGGTTTGCGCCTGTCAAATTAAACGAATTGATGATACGACACCCAAAGCGTTCTCAGGCAAACGGGCAACAGGCTACAGCAACGAGGAGGAACCAGCGACCATCGAGCATTCGAGCATTCGAGCAGGCAAAGATGAATTAAATGCCGAGCTAAAAACCTGAGCGCGGACCTAATTGAAAGAAAAAATAATACAGTGAGGCTTGGGCTGGGACTGGAACTGAGAGACTGGGACTGGGGGAGATGGCCACAAGTTGGCATCATCAGTTAAGTGTGTGTATAGCTGGTAGGTGGTGCTGCCTGCAGAGAGTTGGTTCGTTTGTGTCTCTGTCTGTGTGTCTGAGCTGCCATTATGGCCAGCAGCAACAACCAGTTTTCCCCGAAACACATAACGAAACTGCCCCAAAGACCGAGAAGGAAAATGCTACGGCTTCAGCCAACCAAAACGGCCCAACACAATTAGATTTTTCTTTTGGCAACAGATTTTCTTCGACATTTTGCATTTCTTTCGCTCTGCCTCTCTGGCGGGGGATTTTGTTCCCTTTCAAGTTTCCGTTTTCCCACACATTTAATTTTCATCTACAATTACAACATGCCACGCCCCATTCCCACACACGCAGCAGCGCCTCCTCGACGCGTCACAATATTTTGACTTTGGTGGCGGCTCATAAAGATGAAAGAAAAGCAAAAGGAAACCATGTTGCGCGGCCCAAGAGTGTCCTTGCTCATTGATTCTAATTGCCTATCAAAAGGAGCCGCCGTGGGTCCTGCAGCAGAGATCCTGCTGTCATTCGACTGCCCTTGCTCTCAAAAGAATATCAAAAGGTCAGCCGACAAACGACAAATGCCGAACAAGTGGCAAAAGGGCAGCCAGGAGACAACAGCAACAGAAGACTGTGCTCTGTCATGCCATGTGTGTGGTCCTGTCACCTAAGTAACCCCCTGCCACTGCCCCATGCTTGACCATGTGTGTGTGTGTGTGTGTATGTGAGGCACAAATGGTTGCAGGCTATCAATAAATTACGATGCGATTGATTGCTGATAGGCCGCTGCACATAAACCACAAGCTTATGACAGTTTTGGCACAGGCCCAGGCCTAGACGCAGTCTCAATCTCTCGCTCTCTCATGCTCTCTCTCTCTCTATCTCTCTGCCTGAAGCCCAGCTTCGGCTTCGGCTTCAGCTTCAGCTTCGTGCTTGGCGTTCGTGGCCTAAGTCTTTTGTATGTTGGCCTAAACAGCAGCGACGAAGAGTAATGGCTGTAAACCTTTTTGTCGACACTAATTTTTTGTTGTTTCTTTTGCTTTTTACCCATTGCTGGCATGGCCTGGCCTGGCCTGCCTGTTGTTGTTGTTGCATGTGTCGCGCGCGCGCATTAAGGCCCCAAGTGTGTTGCTGTTGTTGTGGCATGTTCATGTTAATGCTGTCCAAGCGATCAGTCACCAAGCCAACACACAGCCACACAGCAGAGAGTAGTGAGCAGAGACCACCACCGCCAAACAAGTGGTCGAACGAGCGATGCGGCTCTGTCCTCTGTTTTGTAATAATTTATCAGTTTAGTCTTCACAACAAAGATAAAATAACGATAATTTTAACCACTTTAATGGTTTATTAATTTATGACCCTTCAAGTTCTTCACTTTCCACTCACCGCCGACGACCGGACCGGACCCGACGCCTGAGATTTTTCTCGTTTCCCCCTGCCTTCGTTTCGGTCTCTTTTTTTTGTGCTGCTTTTTGGTTTGGTTTTCTGTTACGGGTAGAACGAGCCAGCGAAGCAGCTCTTTAGGGCTAAAAAGGTAGATTTCACACCAATTTTTCTTGTTACCACTGCCGCCGCTTCCTACTTGGTCTCTTGGTCTCCGTCCATGGTCCATGGTCTACTGTTCTTTTGCTCCCGATCCCCCCGTCGATTATGGGTTTTATAGACCCGTTGCCCAATACATGAGTATGTATTTAATCCGATTTTTATTGTTTCTACACTTTTGTGTGTCTTTCTGTCTGTCTGTCTGTCTGTCTGTCGAACTGTTTACCGAATGCATCAATGGGAATTTTGGAAAAACTGGGAAGGTGCTGGCTGCATTTTCATTGGAATTTGGTTTCAGCAGCCACAGCCACAGCCGCACAACCACAACAACCACTACAAAGGCCACTTTATGGCCGACTCATTATAATAAAGCGCACGGTTAGTGGTCGGCCTTTTGGTCTGGAATTTTTAATTTGAATTTTACAAGCAGCATTACGACGGGGTCGTCAGAGTAGGAGGCGCTTCGGGTGTGAAATACCCTGAATACCCTGTGCCTGAAGCTGAAGGTGGAGAAAGTTCTAAAAATGGCCAAGAAAATGGAGCTGCAGCTGCTAGCCTGGGTGGGCTGATTGTGCACCCTGTAATCCAATATCTATTAATGATGATTAATGTTAGCGGTTGCCAGAGGCGGTATCGTTGCTCACTCTTATTGTTTTGGGTGGGTTGCCGCATGTTTGGTAATTGCCAACAGGTTGGACAGCACAGCAGAGAGCGATGCTATGGCTGGGGAAACATTTTGCTACCTGGCATCCCTTTTTTCCGAGTCGTTGCCGTGTGGCCCATAAGCTGCTTTGGCTCGAGCGCAGAGCTCTCCGGAGTTGGCTGATCCCACGGCTAATCTTGCAAGGGAAAACAAGATCACAATTTTGCACACGACTGCTGCTGCTGCTGCTGCTGCTGCTGCCTTTTGTGTGCTGTTATTGATATGCCGGTTATCTGCTGAAGATCGAAGAGATCTCTCGCTGAGATCGCAGATCGCATTAGGTCTCTGGTCTCGTGTGTTCAGTCCGTTTGCTGGTGCCATTGTTTCGCCTTTGGGCGGTTACGCTGTGCCAGCCCAGGATCTGTGAAAACCTTTTTGACTTGTTGGGTTTGGCAATTGGATGCTTAACGCCAAATTAGATTAGCCAAACTAATGCCATTACCTGCTGCTGCTGCTGCTGCTGCTGTATAACAAACTCTAACCGAATCTGTCTCTGTTTTTGCTTGCAGATTCCTCGATCAGCTCCCATGTGCATGGCTGCTTTACGCCCGAGAGCACTGCGCTGCTGGAGAGTGGCGTAACGAAACCGCTCATCGAGCTCTCCATCGGAGATCGCGTCCTGACTATGGGCACCAACGGGCAGCCCGTCTACAGCGAAGTTATTCTCTTCATGGACCGCAACCTGGAGCAGATGCAGGTCTTTGTGGAGCTGCACACGGACGGTGGTGCGGTGTTGACTGTAACGCCCGCACATCTGATCAGCGTGTGGCATCCGGAGCGCCAGCAGCTGGACTATGTCTTTGCCGATCGCGTGGAGGAGCTCAACTATGTGCTCGTGCGGGATGCGGCAACGGGTGAGCTGCGTCCGCAGCGGGTTGTGCGGGTGGCCAGTGTGCGGAGCAAGGGCGTGGTGGCACCACTCACCCGCGAGGGCACCATTGTGGTGAATTCGGTGGCCGCCTCCTGCTATGCGGTCATCGACAGCCAATCCCTGGCGCACTGGGGCCTCGCGCCCATGCGCATACTCTCCACGCTGCAGTCGTGGATGCCCGCGAAGGATCAGCTGCGCAGCTCGCAGCAGGCGGAGGGCGTGTCGCGGGCAGAGCAGCAGAACGGCATCCATTGGTATGCGAATGCGCTCTACAAGGTGAAGGACTATGTGCTGCCAAGGAGCTGGCGTCACGACTAAAGCGCCTCGATGCGGGATGCGATAATTGTATTATATTTTGTAGTTATGTATATGCCTAGTGTATGTTTAATGTATTTCAATGTTGAATATGATTATTACGATCGATCGATACTATTTATTAACCACCCACACACACACACACACACACACACACACAAATATCATAAAAAGAAAACGAAAAGAGCAAAAAGCAAACAAAAGTGTCCTTGACGTTTTTTGTGTTTTTTTTTAACCACATTCTAGCTATAAGTAGACAATCCTCGGCGCAGATCCAACAACAAACAAATAAATGTTTCCTCGATAGATGACGCCCGAACTGTGGATCGTGGACCGTGGACCCTAGATGACTGTTATATTGTATATTATAAAGAAAATTGAATCGGATAATTTATTAAAGTGCGGCAGCGTTCATATTTGTATATAGATGAAGCATTATAGTGACTGAATATTTTATTGTAATTGTGTATATAATACTTACATATATAGTTAACTCCGTATTTATACTTAATATTTAATGAATTATAACGAAATTGTTTGATATATCAAAATTGTGTTCTTATTAATTTAACTGTTTTTGTATGTGGATGTGATTTTCCCGAGCCAAGCCCACGTTAAGTCTGATGGGAAATTTCATTGGGTTATTTCTTGAATGAACCGCCAGATTCAATTCACCACTGACAAAAGGCTGGTCACTCTGTCTGGAGGGATGCCAACTCTCGGCTATTAATTGCCTTGCAGCCCACAATAGACCTATCGACCTATCGTCGATATGAGCAAATCGCAGCAGCGCCATCTGTCGGTACATAGAAAATATGAACTTGTCTATGGGCAGAACATTTTTAAAATATAAGGTCATAAGGCACACAATCCAATAAAAATGAGTATCCATACTAAGCAAAATTGACTCTTCAATCGGATCAAATTATTGTTTTAGTTCTAAATGTCTTAACAAGCTAGTAATATTAAATATAACATCAAAATCGTGGAATAGTGCTTCTATGTGTAAGTGTGAACGTATATTGTTTTGGTATTTTCTGACAGGAGAGGATTTCCCTGACCGTTTAGACACAGGAGAGGATATCCCTGGAGAATTTCCATCACGGGGGATGAAATCGCCGTGTAATTTACCTGTAGCCACTGGAATTTTTGTGACGTATTGACCTGTTGTCGACACCTTAATTGGGTGGGTGGTGGGGTTCGGAAAGTACGGGTTGGGGTTTGGGGGTTGGTCTTGGCACACGTACAAGAACGCGACGTTTTTGTGCGAAGAAATACACAAAACGGAACCGGAAATACATTGGACATTGGTGTTGGTACGAATCACTGTAATACCATAACAATAGGCCATAACATAAGGCCATGCCGAACTAAGTATGTACATATAAAAAGGTTAAAAACATGTCAGTCTAAGAGAGAGCAGCTTTGAAAATTGAATTTTAATATTAATTCATGGAAATAGGGTATACAAATGCTCATACTGTGCTATACCTATCTGTTGACAAGCAACAAATTGTCAAATTACGTTGCATTCCGTTCCCTCTCACGTAACGTTTTATGCTATTTTTGTTGGTTGACCTTTTTAGTTTTAAGCTTAATTTGGAAACATTCCAAGAAAAGGATTTCGTAAAAACTAGCCACTCTTGTGCAGAATTGATTGATAAATCAGATAAAATTCGAGTTTTAGCGCAGAGACTCATAGCTAGCTAGTAATATTAAATAGAACATCAAAATCGAGGAAAATAATTTAAGATTCACGGTATATTCACAGTATATTTTGAAAATGCAGGGGTATATTTCTGTGAATACCCTTGCTTGGGAATCGAAATCAATCGAAATTTTGGGCATGTCCGCCGGGAAAACAAAAATTAGCCACAGCGAATGTCTGTCGTACTTAAAGGTGAGTTGGAATGTCTCTAACGTGCCAATCTAAATGGCTTCTACCCCTCCATAGACTCTCGGCGATGTCCAGCCCGAGGAGGCGGCAAGGCAGGTGGCCGGGAAAATTGCAGCGGAGGAGGAGGCTGCGCAGGGTGACACGTGCGGGGCAAACCAGGCCGCACTGAATATCAATTTTCGTGTGTACTACCACATTCTGGACAGGTACACACTCAAGGATGAGCACTTTGCCGCCTTGCCGCAGCGGCTGACCTGCGAGCAGCCAATCGCATTCCTAATGCTGCAGTCCGTGCTGCTCACCGACCACTGGAAGCGCCTAGATGCAGATCTGCTGGAGGAGAAGTGCATCGCAGCCATACTGGCTGCCCTGGCGCAAAACAGCCTCAGTCTGATACCCGTGCTGAAGGCCACCAATCTGCTGGTGAAGAAGTTCCCGCAGCTGCAGCTGCTGCCGCTGAAACTGGAGCACTTTTATCACTGCCTGCAGCGTCAGAGCCAGACGGGTTCGCGCGAGGAGGCCCTGACGCTGTTCAATCACTGCTGCAAGCAGCCTAAGCGAGCCTTCTCCTACTTCCGCCTGATCATGCAGTTCTGGCCGTGGACAAACCGCAATAAGTATTATCTGCTGAGCGGCATACTCAACTGGCACTCCCTGCCAGACCTGCTGGCGGCGAGCAACCAAAGCGAGACGGAGTTCTTCAGTGGGCTGCGGCTGAGCCTGAGCTACAAGGGTCTGCGTGCAGCCAGCCAGTATCCGGTGAAGAGTCTGAGCAATCAGCGATCCCCCGCCCTGCTGGCCGGCAGCGTGGAACTGCTGGTCAATGGCAGCGTCGCTGAGATACAAAACTTTCACTCGCAGTGGTTCCTGCGCATTCAGCAGCGCATTGAGCTGTTCGAGCTGCTCCAAGCCAATCCGCAGATTGTGGAGTTTCTGGCCTGCTCCGAGGATGTGCGCACGCCCAACGACCAGCTGCGGCTGATACTCATCTTCAGCATGTTCGCGAAGGAGATTTACGCCACCTCCAAGTTGCATTTCTTCAAGATAAGCACCGAACTGTTGACCAACTGCAGTCAGTTCGAGACGGAAGCCCAGCTGCTGATATTTCGTTTCCTAGTGGAAAATCTGCCCAACTTTGCCGTCGAGGATTGCCTGGAGTTCTTCTACAGCTTCATCGAGCGCCATCGGGGTGTGGAGAGCTCCGAGTTTCGCAACACAATGCTGGGCAAGATGCCCACGATCATCAATCATACAGCCAAGCACTTCCACAAGGTGCTCAAGGTGGACAACGGCGTGCGAGTGGATGGCCTGGCGCAGAACATAAAACGCTTCTTTTCGCAGCTGCAGGAGCTGATCGATCGGGACATGCACTGCGAGGTTTATCAGCCCAAAATCTTTGCCCTCAAGCTGCTGGAAATCCTCAACAGATCATTGTACGCCGACCATGTGGCCAAGAATGCCAAAATGTGCAGCACACAGCAGAATCAGCAGATGGGCGCCTTCCTGCTCGATCGCGGCGTCTTTCGGCCTCAAGTGGTGGCCCAGCAGCTGTTTGAAACACTCAACAATCCCCAAGGCTTCGACGATGCCCTGGATCTGACCGTCTCGCTGATCATTCAATTGGGTCACGTGAACACTTCGCAGTGTGTGACCCGCTGCCTGGCACTTTGCTCCAGCTCCGATGTGGATGAATGTGCGCTCGTCTCGCTGTATGCCCAGCTAGCTGTGAAAAGCCAACAGGAAGCCAGCTGCCTGTACGGGGAATGCGTAAAGCGATTGCCTGAAAAGCTGGAGTCCTACCTAAAGGATCCCCTGCTCACTGCCAAAGCTGGTGGCAATCTCTTTGGCTATCTCTGTGTGCTGGACGAGGTGGTCAAAGCAGGAGGACTACCCAAAGGGTCTGAAATTGAGGATCTGCTGCCGCTACTCGAGCGCATTCTGGATGGCATCTTGAAGTTTCTGAATCTTTCCAATGCCAGAAGGCAATCGTTGGAGGCTGACACGGCGCCCAGTTTCCAGGACATGGACGAGAGCCTACAGCTGCTGGTCAGCGAGAGTGCATTTGATGCCAAGGCGGATGCCGAGGCCTGCGGGAAGTATCTGCTGATGAGCTTCTGGCTGACGTTGAAGGGCTGCTGCGACCTGGCCGCGAGCATGGGCTGCTCCCTGCTCCAAACGGATGCGTCCACCCATTGGGATGCACTGCGCCGTTGCTTGGACATCAATGTGGCCGTGCTGACACGCTGCCGGCACAAGGGAGCCATTGAGTCTGGCGGTCTGAGCATAGGCCGACTCACCCGTGGCATAACCAGCACACTGAAGAGTGAGGATAAAGGATTCCAGCTGCTGCACGAGTGCCTCGAACGGGAGCTGCTCGCCGAGAGCCGCCAGGTGAGCACCACACGGCGTGGCGCTGGCTTTGCCATCATGTTCCTGCACGTCCTAAAGAACGACAATCCGCGGCAGCGTTTGCTCTTGCATAGAGCCGTGCAGCAGATCCTACAGAGGCTTAACGAGAGTCGTCCAACGGCGGCGGCCACAGACAGCAATCACGACCGCTGGGAGGCTCTGGTCCTGCACTATCTGTGCGTCTTGGTGCGCGACACGGAGCTGCGGCCGGCCATGAGCAAATATTACAACGAGATTATGATGGTGGCCATGGAGCACATTGACAACGCCGAGTGGACCATCTCGAATGCGGCCCTGCAGCTGTTTGGAGCGAGTCTGGGCAAGCTGGTGGGCCAGCGACAGGCCACAGAGTTTGAGACGCGTCCCGCCTGGGAGCCCAGCGAGCTGAACTACGACGAGTTGGCCTGCCTGCTGCCCAGAGCCTGCGAGCACATGCTGGACTGCTGCGACCAGCGCGAGGTGGTCACCTCCTCCATTATACTCTTCCTGGGATTCCTCTCCAAAGTGGAGCATCTGCGCACCAGCGCCCACACAGATGTGGACCCGCGACTGCAACGCTTCCGCCGCCTCAGTTGGCGCCTGTTGCAGCACCGGTGCGAGCAAGTGCGTCAGCTGGCGGCCACCTGTTTCGTGCGTGCACATGAATTCCGCTGCGATTTGCCGACGGCGCTGCTGGCCAGCGCCAAGCTGGCTGCTCAGCTCAACAAGGAAAACTTCTACGAGGGACTGCTGTACACGCTGACAGCGGGCGTGCACAAGCTGCAGCACGAGGCACGTCACGTGTGGAGCGATGAGCGTCTAGAGAAATTCTTTGCTGAACTAGTGACCTTGCTGGAAGTCGGCGAGCGAG